AGCGGTCACGATAGAGCGGTTCCGTCACCACGCCCGCGCGGTCAAGCCCAGTGAAGCGGAGCATGAGCCTACAAAAAGCGCGCGACTTCGTGTGGGGCAGCCGCGTTCAAAGGTTGAGCCCGCCAATGATATGCGAGGTATCTAGTTTCGTTGGGGCAAAGGACGCCGGCGCGATCCGCCGCGATCCGGCGCGATCCCGAGCGATCTCGAGCGATCTCGAGCGATCTTACGCGATCCCGAGCGCTCCTACGCGCTCGGACGCGATCCCGGCGATCCCGATCGCGGCGGCGCCGGTCATCCTCCTCGAGGCCGTCCGCGGACCCCCCGCCTCCTCGCGCATCCCTTAAGCGTCGTCGGCGCCGCTCGGCGCGAGCTCGTAGGCGGCCCGCGCGACGACCGCCGGCGGCGTCGCGTCGGGCTTGCGCGCCGCGCCGCGGCGGCGGCGGCGCAGCTTCCGGACGAAGAAGGCGACGACCAGGAGCGTGGAGATGGCGCTGGTGAGCCCGAGGGACCGCAAGGGGCCCGCGAGCGATTCGGACTTCTCGTCGACGCCGTGGGGGCACAGGTAGCCCACGCGCTTGCATTCGCACCGTTCCGTGACGAAGCACGCCGGGTACCCGCCGCGGCACACGCAGCCGTTGCAGTCGTCGCCGCTGGGGTAGGGCTCGCCGCTGGCGATGGGCGCGTCGCCGAGGAAGCACGACGACTCGTGCCCCGCGACGGTCGCGTTGCACGTCTCGCAGCAGCGCGCCGCGAGTACGTCGCCGGAAACGTTCGAGAGGGCCGCGAGCTCCGCGCAGGAGCCCGGGCCGACCAAGGAGCTGCTCCGGACCGAGGACGCGGCGAAGGCGCAGCTCAGCCAGCCGTCTACGAGGAACGCCGCATCATCGACGCAGCCCCCCATCGGGAAGCGGCCTCCCAAGGTTGTCGTTGCCCGGCACCATCGCCTCGCCCATTCGAAAGCCATCAAACCGGCAGAATGGCAGCCCGCGACGCGACCATGCACCGGCTGCGGCTGCTCCAGGCGGCCTGCGCCCCGTTGGGGTCGCCCGGCGAGAAGCCCGAGGCCTGGCTCTTCGTCTGCGGCGTCGACGGCAAGGACAACTGGGGCTCGGCGGCGGCGCTGCGGTGGCTCGTGCTCGGCGAGAGCGGCCGGGGCCTGCTCGAGGAGCGCGTGCGGCCCTTCTTCGTCGGGTCCGACGTGCCCCTGGCGTCCGACGCGGACCGCGAGGCCGTCGCCGAGGCCCTCGAGGAGACCGTGCTGCTCGTCACGCGGAGCACCGTCTCGCTGCTCTACGACGCGCGCGCCGCGCCCGCGCTCGCGACGCTGCTCGTCTGCCCGGGCCTGCGCGAGTACGTCGTGGAGTGCGCCGGCGGCGACGTCGACGCCGCCGAGGCGGCCAAGGCCGCCGGGTTCGTGCGGCTCGTGGCGTGCGAGGTGGGCGCGGCCGGCGCGCGCGTCGGCGTCGTGCTCCCGCGCGGCGCCGAGTCCGCGGCGGAGGACGTCGAGTACTGGCCCCTCGTCCAGGCCCTCGCCGTCGGCGAGGCGCCGGGGCTCCACGGCAGGGGCGACTTCGGCGGCTTCTTCAGCCAGCGCCACGACGTCGTGGACGCGACGGCGACGTTCAAGGCGTGCGTCGGCGCGCTCGACGGCGCGCTGCTGCGGGACCGCCTGGCGGCGTCGACGCCGGCCCTGCGCCAGCACGTCGAGGAGACGTTCCGGGCCATGCGCGGGCCCGGGGGCCTCGGCGTCGCGCCGGACCTCACGGAGGCGCGCGCGGCGGAGCGGCTCGCGGCCTTCTTCGACTACGGCGAGGCCGAGCATCCCGCTGTGCCGAAACCAAATCTTCAACCCGACTTCAATGTGAGCGTATTCGAATGTTTTGACACAAGCTCTTCGGCTGGGCTTCGAGAACTCGACAAGAGCGATCGATCCGTCCAAAAATCAGCCGAATCGACTTCGATTTGACCGAGCTAGAGAATTCTCAAGTTTGGTCAGGACCACCCAAACCAGTGGTTGGTTTCGGCACAGGCATCCCGGGGACGCGCGGGGCACGCTCCAGGCGCCCTTCGCGCTCCTGGGGACGCGCACGTCGTCGAGCATGTGCGCCGACGGCGCCTCGGACGCGACCGCGGCGGACGCGACGGCGCCGCAGATCGTGGTCCAGGCGCGCGACCCGACGTCCGGGCTCCGGCTCTGCCGCACCTACGTGTTGGGCGCGGGCGTCGTGCCGGTTGTCCCCGGCGACGACGACGACGACGACGACGACGACCGCGAAACGGCCGCGCCCGCGCCCGCGGCCGGCGCCGTACAGCGCGTCGCGGAGGCGTACGCGGGCCTCGCGCGCGCGCTCCACGGCGCCGCGCCGGCCGCGCTCGCAAATGCGGCGACGCTCACGGGCCTCGAGGCGCCCCTGCGGGACGCCGTGCTCGCCCACCTGCCCCCGGGCGCCGGCGAGAGCTTGGTGGTGGCCACGGACGCGACGGACTGCGACGGCCGGCCGCTCGTCGACGCGGGCGAGCTCGGCAAGCTGGGCTGCCTCGTCTACGTGCGCCTGACCCTGTCCCTGGGGCCCCTGGGCGCCGTCGCCGTCGGCGACACCTTCCTCTTCCCGCCGCCGCCGGGCGCCGGCGCGCCCGGCGCGTTCCCGCTCCTCCAGGGCGAGGGCGCGCTGCTCACGGGCGACCGCTGCGCGCCCTACGCGCAGCCCTTCGGCGCCTGCGGCGGCCCGGAGTTTTCCGCCGCCGGCGCGCTCGCGCGGCGCCTGCGGGACGTCCACTTCCCGCGGCGCGACGACGTCGCGCTCGGCGCGCGGCTCGAGGGCTTCCCCGCGGCGACGTTGCTGGTGACGCCCGCGGCGCCGCACCTCCCCGCGGCGCTCACGGGCCGCCTCGACGTCTACGAGCGCGGCTTCGTCCTGCACGAGGCCGGCGTCGCGCCGCTCGTCGTGTCCTTCGGGCGGGGCGACGTCGACGACGTCGCCGTCGGCGCGCGCGCGGCCTGCCACCTCGTCGCGCTCGCGTGCCCGCGGCACGCGCTCGCCCACGCGGCGCCCGCGGGCGCGATCCTCGACGAGGTCTGCCTCGTCGTGCCCGCGCGGAGCGAGGCGCACCGGTCCCTCGAGCGCCGGCTGAGCGACTGGCGCGCAGACTGCCGCCGCGCGCGGCCCGCGAACTTTTCCGCCGCGTCGGCGGCGCGCTTCGCCCGGCCCTTCGACGCGCTCCACGCGGACCAGGCGGCGGGCCTGAGCCGCTCGTCGCGGGCCTGCGGCGCGAGCTCGTCGGCGCTCGTGGGCGCGCTCCTCGGCGCCTTCGAGGCGCGCGTCGAGGACGACGCGCGCGACCGGCTCCACGGCGTCGTCGAAGCTCCCGGGCGCGGCGCTCCTCCGCCACGGCCCGCGGGCGTTTTTTCGCTCCTGGGCGCGCCGGGCTCCGGCGTCGGCGACGTCGCCGCGGCGCTGCTCCGCCGGGGCCGGGAGTCGGACGGCGTCGCCTGGGTCCACGTCGAGGGCGCCGTCGACGCGGCGACGCTCGCGCTCGACGTGCCCGCGACGGCGGAGCGCCTCGCCGCGGCGCCGCCGGGCCGGCTCCTCCTCTCCTGCTGCTGCCTCGACGGCGCGCTGGCCGTCGCCGCGGCGGCCGCGGCCGCGCGCGCGGAGCTCCGCGGATTGGCCGCGGTCGTCAGCGGCGCCGCGCTCGCCGCGTCGCGGCCGCAGTGCCCCCGG